CCGGCCCGTCCCGCAGCGGGTACTCAACGCCGCTGGGCTCCTGGCGAGGGGAGGGAAGGGGGAAACACCGCAGGGCCATCACTCAGTGCATTTATGTTGTGTACAGTCAGGTGAGAAACATTTATAGGGTGAAGATTGCCCCAGCGGGGAAGCCCTGAGCCCAGCAGAATTCTATTAATTACTTGAAATAAAGGAAGATCAGGCACTTGGTATGGTTGAGCAAATTGCTACTACTGCCAGGGCTGAACTGGCTCTGCTGGGGGGAAACCAAGTCTCGCAAGGCTGGAGGCAGGATCCACACGCACGGAGAGCTGAGTGCTGAGCTGTTTTGTGCAGCACTGCTGGGGATGGGGCAGCAGATTGTGGCCTCTGCCGGATCACAGCGCCGAGTGAGCAGAAGAGCTAGTGCAAAATGCTCCTCATTAAATCCCAATTGGTTTGCTCCTCTGTAAGCTGCTTTGTGTAAAACTAGGAAGGCCCTACAAGAAAAGCCCCAAACTGACTCAAAACTGGGCAGCGCTTGGTCTAAGCTGCCACCACAAGCCTCCAGGGGAGATACTGACAACAACAACTCCAGGCCCCTGTGCCCCCACACACCTCCCCACACACACAGCCTCGCCAAGGGCAGTGTTATTCCCTCCCTATAGTCATCCCTGCTGGATGGGATCGCAGCACAAGGCAGGAATATTATCCCATTCCCTCTGAATCTATTATCAGTTCCTATTACACACGAGCAGCTGAAGATAATTATAGTGTGCGCTTGCATTGCATTAAAGTTACTCTCAGTTCTTTCTCTTCCTTAGGTTAAATTAGCGATTACCTCAATGCAGCACTTATTCCAATAATTGTTTATGATACTTGTCTTACCATCTGTCTTTAATGTTGTGTTTTCCCCAGCTGGATATACAACTTTCCCCCCAACAGCCGAGCAGATGTTCTGGGTAATGGCACGCACCGCTGGGGCCCTACAGCGCCAGGGGCTGCCTCCTGTCGCCTCCCTGTCCTTCCCGAAGAAGTTGGGCAGGTGCCCGGAGGGAACGTGCAGCAGCGCTGCCTACCTCGGCCACGGAGCAGTTGAGCTGAAAGATCTGCCCCTCGCCTTCGACCTGCCGCACGCAGAGCTTGCACACGAGCTCCAGGGTGCTCAGGCTGAACCTCTCCAGCGTGAAGGTGCAGTGGAGGTTCCGCTGACAGCCGCTCCAGATGTGGTAGAAGGGAATCTCCTGCAGGAGCAGAAGCAGAAAGATCAAGCAAGGCTTCCAAGCAGGCGCGGGCCCCGGTGTGAGCAGGCAGTGCTGCTTACCTGGTACTTGGCCAGCAGCTTGCTCTTCCAGAGCGAGTGGGCGACGTCGTGGATGGACAAGCGGAGGTTGTGGGTGCTCCCCTTGAAGTGCAAGGCCTTGGGCTCCTCCAGGAGCTGCCCGCCCATCTGCCGCTCCAGCTGCAGCACCTCCTGCAGGGCAGCAAGCACACGGGCGCCGTGAGCGCACGGGCCGCGATGAGCACCCGCGTGAGCCTCGAGGCGCCCGCGAACGCGCTGTGGCCAAGCACAGAGCCCAGGTGAGCCCGGCCCTGACGCATCCTGGAGCTGAAACCGTGTTTGTTTATCAGCCATTAGGAGAAAAGAAACATAATTAGGAAACCCTTTAGATTAAAGTTGTGCCAATGAATCAGTTCCAGCATCTTCCCAGTACCCCTAATTACCTCGTCAAGCCGTCTAAAAAGCAATCGATAGCAATTATCTGATTACTATAGATCTTCATTATGTCCAAATTAGCTCCTGGAATGGCTGGAGGAACATCGTGGCACCGCAGGAGCTAATTGCAGGTGGGGGGAGTCCCTTGGTGCAGAGGGCTCGTGCACGGGCTGCCCCACATCCTCCTGCCTGCCTTGGGGGTCCAAATTCGAGACCCCTCTTCCCATAACTGCCTCATTCACTGCAGGCCCCTCTGGGCACTCACAGGAGACAGTGGAGGAGCATTCGGTCTCCTCACCAACAGGGCACGAGCAAGAAATGGGCTTTACTGCACAGTGCCACTCTTCTCTGCAAGAGAGGAGACCAGACGATAAGTGGCTAAGAAGAAAATAACAAACACAGCCACTGCAGTGAGGATAAATATATGTATTTTGGGGGGGGGAAACAGCTGTTTTACAGCACTAAGCAGGTTGCGGGGAGAAACACCCTGCAAGAGTGTGAGGTACATCTATATATAAATGTATATGTGGCTAACCAGGCAGGACTGAAGCAGCAGGGTTTATAGTTACTATTACAGCACGAATCTCTTTACAACAGACTAGGCTGGGCATGCAAGTGTCAAAAAGCAAAGAAGAGGCTGGACGTGGTGATCGCTGCCACCCTCGCCCTTCCCCAAGGTGATGTCTGGCCCCAGCTCCGTGGGGCTGAGGGCTCCGCGTGCCGGAGCGGTGCCGGGGTGAAACAAACTATGCTCTCCCTCAGGCTCCAGCCGCGGATAAAGTCCCCAGCGTGGTGCTTTGAACTCCTCCCTCGAGCCTGTGTCTCCCCCAGGGCATTGGCTGCTGCTTCTCGTGCTCCCCCATGTCCTCCAGCCCTCGCACTGCTCCCTCGTGCTGCTGCCCCAAGCAGGACTGGCCTCACCTCCACGTTCCCCGCGGTCTATTAGAAACAAGCCAGCAACTCTTGAGTAAGGTCTAATTTGATTCCCCCACTCTGACTGCATTAACTCCCCGTTCAAGGCCACTCTCAGTCACTTATTATTACCTCGGGCCTTGAGGAACCACGGAAAATTGCATTATGCAACGCGGGCACTCAAGAGCAGAGGCATAAAGTTGTTGTGAATTTTGAAGTGTTGCTACTCTGTCAGCACAAAGGGCCCTTTCCAATTTTCAAAGAGGAAAACTGGAGGAGGGAAAATAATGGTTCCTGAAACCCCGATAGCATCAGTGCCTTGACACAGGCAAGCCCCCACGCGCTGCACAGGAAAAAGCAGCCTGATCATGATACTCACTGCAACTCTCGCACTTCACTGTCCTCCTCCTATTCAGTCAGAGAGTTCCCGGTACCCGGTGACAAAGACAGCGCACAGGCTTTGTGCCACAAAGTGTTTGTGCTGAACATGTTTCGTGCCATTTACAATGCTGAAAGCCCGTGCTCCAAAACCCACAAACATCTCCCGGCCAGTGTGTGTGGGCTCGTGTCTGAATAATTTCCAAATAAAGGGGATAAAAGAAAGCTGTGTTCAGCATGAGGATGACTCTGCTCCGAGTCAGGCCTGGAACTCTCTTTGCTGCAAAGATGCCTTCGGGAAGTTGCACTGATTATGAGTAAAGAAAAAAAAAACTCTTAATTCCTGCATGTACAGTTGGAGTTACATATTTTATGAGTGCATCTATTATAGATACCATCTGTATAAATACACATTTAGAAAGAGAAATAGTGAGTATGTTTGTCTATTTATTTATCTAGACGCTGTGCACGCATGTATGTGTGGAGCACAGCTGAATTATGCAGTGAGACTAAGGTGCACAGTTATAGAAAGCAACAGCTTTGGTTGATTTTAGTTGCAAATTTCCAGCACCAAAAAAAAAAAAAAAACACACCCTGCACACGAAGAGGTGCAATAAAGCAATATGAAAGCAGGCAGTGATTAACAACCCAGAAGCTTCTTTTATCATTATCAACTATTTACCAAGAGGCATTTATATGTTTCCCCATCTCTGGGGAGCTGGCACTTAGCATTAAAAATACATGAATAACGAATGAAGCCGGGCTACCTTATGGCCTTTTAATAATGCAAAAATCTTAGGATCCAGGATATGATACAGGTAAACAAAAGAAAAAAAAAGGGGGGGACGGGCAGAAAATAGTTTAACGTGTGTGTGGCACCCTTATGTGCAAATCATAGTGGAGGCCCGTTCTGGGTTGAACTGTGAAACGCTGGCTCGCTGTCGAGCTCTCCTAGTGGGAAGAGTTAGCTGGGGAACAGAGACTCCAGGGCTCCTCCCTGGCGCCTGAAGCGAGGGCAGGGCAGGAGGGGGGCCCCTACCTTGAGGGCGTCCTGCGTGTCGTCGAGGCAGTAGACGCGGATGCTGTACTCCAGCGAGGAGCAGGACAGCGGCCCGAAGAGCGCCAGCTTGAGCCGCTTGGCGGCCGCCTTGCTCACCGACTGGCCCACCAGGGCGTACGTGCCCAGCGTCTCCGTCACGACGGGGCACGCCTCCCTTGCTCTCTGCACCTTAGCCTACTCAAGAGTCAAAATCCCCAATTCCTGCTTTCTTCCTGCATGGGCATAGGGAAGGGATGGTTTCTTGAGGAAAAGTGGTTGGAGAAACCTCTTCCCACCCTCAGTTTCAGATCTGCAGCTGCCTTTAAGCCATGGCCAGTTAAGCAAATAAGGCACAATATTGCCAATAGCTGACTGAAAAGGAGGCTTGCAGAACTACTCATTTGGTGGCCAGCATTAAGCGTGGCCAAAGAGTCTTGATGCTGAAGCTGAGGAGCACTTGCAGCATTACTATCGCTTTCCTGAAAGCTGATTAGAAGCTAGGGGAGTCCAAGATACTCTGCGAAAAAGCTTCTCTTTTTCTTTTTTCTTAGAATTGAACTGGAACTTGTTTCAGTTTTTTTTATTTTGCCTTCTCTTTTCCTTCTCTCTGTACGATTTCAGCACAGTGTCCTGTCAAGTCCAAAATCTCCAGCACCAAATTTTCCTGAAAACTGATTAGACGCTAGGGGAGTCCAAGCTACTCTGAGAAAAAGCTTCTCTTTTTCTTAGAATTGAACCGGAACCTGTTTCAGGTTTTTTTATTTTTGCCTTCTCTTTTCCCTCTCTCTGTGTTCTGTCAAGTCCAAAATCTCCAGCACCAAAATCCCACAGGAAAGGTTATGTTTCATGACACAGAGCAGAGCTGTCCCAAGAAAGCCTGTCCGTGTGAAATGCTGGCAAGGAGCGAGGTGAGAAGAACCCCCTCCCTGCTCATGCTGCTCTTCTTTGGCCTTGGCTGACTGTGGCTTTGCTTTGCAGTCGGCACAAGTGCTCTGGGAGCCAGCAGTATTCCTCGCTCCGCAGGCAGGATGTAGCACAGATAGGGCTGAGAGGGGCAATAACAAGAAAATACAGCCCCGAGATGCAACCAGCAGTTGCTGCTGGGCACTGCACCGTTTAGAAAGCCTGGGGGGGGGCGTGTTCACCTTGTGCACAAGGCCAGGCTGAGGATGCAGCACTGCGAGGAGGCGCCGCACGCGACTCACCTCCCAGGGCCCCTGGGCCGCCTGGTGCTTCAGCTGGATCTGCCAGTCGTCCGTGTTGGGCTCGGCGCAGTGGTGCACGGTGAGCACGACGGGCCGCGTGAGCAGCGCCCCGGGCGGCCCGCAGCTCACCACGGGCGTCAGCAGCGTCTGGCTGTCCTCCACGAGCGGCCTGCGCGACACACGGCGGCGTTGGCACGCGGAATGCACACGGACACCCCATCCCGCTCCCGGGAGCAAGGAAAAGGCAGGTGGAGGCGCCAGGGAACACAGGCCATGCCCGACCCGTATGTGGTGGCTCCTGTGCTCGTGGCACCTGGTCGTGCCCCACAGCCCGATGCACGGAGCAGCTGTGCTCACAGGCACCATGTGCTGGGGTTATTCACTAAAGGAGCATCCAGCGCTGCTCCTTGGGCTTAAAAGGCACTCAAATCCATGGGAATCG